GAAAAATCACCCTTCTCTCTGGCACTTCAAGAACATGACCCACACAAGGCAGCTCTCCTTACCCTGGGTAAATCATTAACCCCCACAGATATGGAGTCTCAGCTACTACTACCGAACACACTACAGACAGACATGGAGTGTCTACTGTTACTACTAACACACACACACACACACACACACACACACACACACACACACACACGATCCAGTTCCAGGAAAACAGCCTCCCAAACCAGCACAGGAAGTGGCTGGGTTGAAAGCTTAATGTCTACCTTAGGAATGGGGCTGTCCAAAATGCCACAAAAGCCTGCCTACAGAATGGGAGAAAACTCTTCAATAGCTGTTCATCTGAGAGAAGATCAATGTCTAGAATAAACAAAGAACTCAACAAAGTAAGCCACACAAAATTAAAAAACCCAAATAATGAATGGGCTGAAGAAACAGCTTTGAAAAGGTGAAATACAATGGCCAATAAGCATAAGATGCTCAACACCATGAGCCATCAGAGGGATGGAAATGAAAACTACACTGGGATTCCATCTCACTCCAGTCAGTATGTCGCCCTTTATCAATGATCGCTACACATATGTTGACAAAAAAAGGAACACTTAGCACTGTTGGTGGAATAAAAACTGATCCAGCCACTGTGAAAATCAGAATAGAGGTCCCTCAAAAAGCTTAACTTACAACTACCATATGATCCAACTCTCTTCCTCCTGAGTACTCACCAAAACAAGGCTTCCCATCAACAAGTTAGAGAGCTGCTCCAACATCAATGTGGATTACAGCAACAATCACAACCACAAAAAACGGGAACAATCAGGAATGAATAAAGAAAATGTGACATATATGCATGACGAGGTTCTGTGGCATTCATAAAAAGGAATAAAGTTATGCCATCTTCAGGACAGATGCAACTGGAGATAGTCATATAAAGAGAATTATGCCAGTCTCGGGGGAAATGTAGGAAGTTTTCTCTCATTTGTGGTCCCTAGACTTCACACAGACACAAAATCATGTATGTATATAGGACATGAAAGCAGAAGAGGAAACCTATCTAGGGGAACAGCATATAATCCGAGGAAGGAATGAGGAGGAAAGAAAGGTTGTGTGGAGGAGAACGTACAGCATAACTGTCTCAGAGTGTCCTAACACAACCCAGCACTGTGTGCAATGATTATAGACAATGAATGCTTTTAAGTTAAATTGAGTTTTTTAAAAAAAAAAAACAATACCTTAGACACAATTATTTTTTAAGGTCACAATACATGGCATTTTCAGCAGACCACATTACACAGACACTGACACAAGTCTCCTCAGATCTTTGGGCTATGGGGCTTCCTGGGCACTTGGTTTTGTGTGAATTCTCATCAGGAGACAGACATCAGGATCTCTGATGCACAGTCAGGCCAGTCTATTGACAGTACATGACTGCTAGGGGAGGGGAAGGCAAATCAGATAGTAAAATTTGTAAAATTAATTCTAACCCCCGAGTTTCTGTGAAATCTTTGATGACTAAGTTGGAGCCGTAAAGCTAATCAAGAGTGAATCTGGTCTAAGTGACTCAAGGCCAAATCAAGGAAGAAAAAATGAAAAGCAGACATGAGATTCGGTGGGTGCTGGTGGGGGCTGATCTACAGCCATTCATGATTGTACAAGGTTGTGAATGTCAGTTCGGCTCTGATAGCTCACATTTCCTTATCCAAAAATTGAACAGCTAGCCCCAAATTACCCACCTGTGTACTGGAGGAGTTTCTAGTTCTTCAACCCAACCATTCCCTCCACACTTGCTTTGATAACTTGATATTTTAATAAGCATGTGAACACAAACAAAAGGGACCCTGAAAATAGATAGGTAAGACAACTGGATCAAAACACCGGCCACCTAACACCAGAATCAGAACTCAGTGCTCCAATACCTTAGACACAATTATTTTTTAAGGTCACAATACATGGCATTTTCAGCAGACCACATTACACAGACACTGACACAAGTCTCCTCAGATCTTTGGGCTATGGGGCTTCCTGGGCACTTGGTTTTGTGTGAATTCTCATCAGGAGACAGACATCAGGATCTCTGATGCACAGTCAGGCCAGTCTATTGACAGTACATGACTGCTAGGGGAGGGGAAGGCAAATCAGATAGTAAAATTTGTAAAATTAATTCTAACCCCCGAGTTTCTGTGAAATCTTTGATGACTAAGTTGGAGCCGTAAAGCTAATCAAGAGTGAATCTGGTCTAAGTGACTCAAGGCCAAATCAAGGAAGAAAAAATGAAAAGCAGACATGAGATTCGGTGGGTGCTGGTGGGGGCTGATCTACAGCCATTCATGATTGTACAAGGTTGTGAATGTCAGTTCGGCTCTGATAGCTCACATTTCCTTATCCAAAAATTGAACAGCTAGCCCCAAATTACCCACCTGTGTACTGGAGGAGTTTCTAGTTCTTCAACCCAACCATTCCCTCCACACTTGCTTTGATAACTTGATATTTTAATAAGCATGTGAACACAAACAAAAGGGACCCTGAAAATAGATAGGTAAGACAACTGGATCAAAACACCGGCCACCTAACACCAGAATCAGAACTCAGTGCTCAGTGCCCACATTGCAGGCCTCCCAGGGTCTAGCAAGGGTACAGAGAGGAAAGGGGTGGTCCTCACTCTGTCAGGGGCTCAGTTGCTGTTTGTGTGTTGATGGGAGCACTTATGCAGAGAAATAAGACGCTCCACTGCAAACGTTACCCAGGGAAGGGCTGCAAACTTCCAAAACCAAGTTCCAAGCAGTAAGGTATCAAGATAAACATGAAAATCAGAACAAAAGACCCACATTTACCCTCTACTTTGCAAACATTTAGAGGTTAGTCTCCTTATTGGCCAAGGGACATTCCCTTCATGTACGTTCTTTCTTCCTCCCAGCCATCGAGCACCTCTGACCCAATATACCTGACTGCTCATGAATCTCCCTAAGCATCCCCACTGTCTCCCATGAGACAGAGATCATATTTCCTACAGCTGTTGATTCCATCTTCACACAAGAAAGTTCTTCCTTATATGGAACCAAAGTCTGACTCCCTGGCCTTCAACCTCCTGCCCCGATCTGCTTCTTAGGACCATATGTCAATGCTTATCTCACTGGTGTGGAATTTTTGTAGGTAACTGTGTATACAGAAACAAAGCTATCCAAGACCTCAGTCCACAGTCAACCCTGCCCTTCTCCTGACCACATCATATTGCTGACTATTCATGCAACTGTTATCAAGATGAAATCCATTCTTTGGAGTGTTTTCCAATGTGTTAATGCTAAGTATTCACAGTATTCACACTGCAATACTGTGAACTTGGAAGTACCAGTCTCTCCTCTCCTTCCCCCACCACTCTGTGTGAGTGTGTGTGTGTGTGTGTGTATGTTTGTGTGTGTAAGAGAGGAAGACAGACAAGTTAGGCAAGTGCTCTACCACTGAATTGAAAATCCATCCTTCTTTCCACTCTTTACTTTGAAACAGAGCATCACTAAGGGTCTCAGGATGATCTTGTAGTCATTTCTATTCCCAGATACACCTTAAAATTGAAATCCACATGCTGTAACCTCCATAGGACCCTGGCTTACAGGTCTACAATACCAAGTACAGAGGATGGACTTCTTTAGTTTTCTGTGAAACTTAAAGCAACCAACCACCTTCAAGACTAGCTCTCCATCCATCTCTACTCTACCAGCCTTGCTACACACCCACTCTTCATGGGTGAAGTCTGATATGCAGTCCCCATTCTTCAGAATTAGAACCCAGTCCTGCCAGACCAAAAAATGCGCCCTCTAAGGCTCTTCCAAAGATTGTAACAGATGAGTTCTGTAGGCAAGGTCAACTTGCTCATCCCAGAGTTGGAGTACCTCAGAGATGTTCAGTGGGGTGGGAGGACTGTTCCGCTTCACTACTTGAATTCATGGTTCATGTAGTCAAAACAGTGGTGCTTCACATCACTAGTGTGTCCCACCATACACAAATGCCTCCCCAGGCAGTCTCATGGACTCTCTACTCACAACTTCCTTTGGGGCAACATAATAGCCAATGTGCCAAAAGAAGACAGAGGCTCAGAGCTGTCACTTGTGCTCCTGAGGCCACAGCAACAGAAAGTAGGCAAAAGAAGCTGCAGACTTGAGACTCTAGGCCTAACTCTGTCGTATACTCACTGTGTGACCGCAGGCTTACCATTTAACTCTTCTAAGCCTTGGTTTCTACACCTGAAAATCAGAGATTAAAGCAGTAACTCTGCCTCCCTCTTGGAGCAGTTACAAGGATCAAATGAGATAATGAGAGTGAAAGCCCTCTGGAAAAGAGGAAGGCATTCTCCAAGTGCGAGGGATTACTGTGTGATTACTTGTAAATGACTGTGCATTCCATTACAAATAGAAAAGGCAGTGAGGTCATTCACAAGACAAAGAAACACTAGGCCCTGGGAATCAGGGGAGAATGATTCGGTGTTGTACAGGTTATGTCTATATGCTGCTCACACTTGGAGCTCAAAGCTCAGCAGCAGCTGTCAGGGTCTCAAATTCCAAGTCACATATGTCTACAGGGCAACTCAAGACAAAACCTCCCTTTTCAGCTAAAAGCAAATGCTGGGCAAGAAGGAGGTAATAGAGATGGACGTCTGGAAGACCCCTGAGAGTCTCAGTTCCGGAAATGTGGCCTTTGATGTTTTCCTTGGAGTAGTTGTTAGAAACACAGGCTCCAGTCTCACTGCGGTAAGCCCGTGGGGAAATAAATGTACAGTAAGGAGCTATTTACCTGAAGAAGCATCCAAGCATGAATTAATCAAGGGCACAAGGCATTTCAAGTTACAAACACGAAAAGGATAAGGATCTCCAACCAGTTAACCCTCCTGGGGTCACAGAGGCTCCACTTGGAGCCTGGCATTGCCCCCCACACCTACCCACCCTCATCCCCACCTCCACCCCGAGGCTGCACGAAGCCAGCAGCCCACACACCCACCCTTTACATACCAGCCTTCCTGCTGGAGACAACCCTGAAGAGGGGTCCCAAGCAACTCAGGGAGCGAAGCCTTGTGTCTGCCTTCTTTTCCAGCCTCTTCCAATACTCTAGTTGTCGGATACTCTTCGTTCCTACAAAGAATCAAATATTCACTGTCATTAATGGAGGGACCATATATTCCCCACAAATTCATCCCTAGACTGATGAGAAAATAGTTCAATGGTGTCTCCCACTGCAAGAAAGAAGCTACAGTGGTATTAAAAGCAGCTACAGCAGAAAACAGTCATGAGATAGTAGATAAAATGAAAGAGTCCAGCATAGACAGTGAGAAAGAATGCTAGGAAACAGAAGTCAACTAGAGTCTGTCAGATATACAAGGTCACAGATGGATATAAACAGAGGCAACACAGAGAGGGGAATAAAACCAACTGTTTTGAGATAAAAGAATGGGGTTTTGCTTTGTTTGTTTTTGTTATGGAGTAAAGCTCTGATCACACCGCTGGTAAGATTTTAAAAATAATCTCTTTTGCCCCCCACTGAGAAATACTAACAGCAATAACTATGATGTGAAAAAGATTTACTTTATGTTAGCAATTGTACTGCAGTTTTACATGTACATAGATTTGTGTTCAGTGCATTATTTAATAGCAGTAATAACCGTATAAGCTAGGCATTCTCGTCCCATATTATAGAGGAAATGAATGTTAAAGATAACATGTGTAAATCCCAGACATGGTAAATGCAAGAGGTCAATACTAACAAGTTCACAGTAAAAACTGGACCCCTTGCAATGCCATAAGTGCCCTATGTCCCTCTTCTCCCTATTGCCCACTCTAACCATGTCACTTTTTTTTTTTTTTTTTTTTTTTTTTTTTTTTTTTTAAACAGGGGTTTCGCTCTTGTAGACCAGGCTGGTCTCGCACTCACAGAGATACGCCTGCCTATGCCTCCCGCGTGCTGGGATTAAAGGCGTGTGCCACCACTGCCCGGCTCCATGTCACTTCTATAAGATGAAATACGTTCCCTATAACTCACATGCATAATAATCAGATGTAACAGAGATGCTTTCAAAAGTAGTTGACGATAACAAATTGCCACTGTCAGATGTTTTTCACACAGTGGGCACTGTGTGTGTGACAGGCACTGCCCTTGGAAGTTTGGGTCATGAAAGTAATATAATATGGGCCATAACCATTCACTTTTTCCTAGACAGAAATTAAACCAGTCAAAGCAAGACTGCCAGGGTCAAAAGGGAAGACCTAGCCAGGGTGACTGACCCAGTTCAAGGACACTGTGCACCGGGCAGCCTGAGGGCTCTGCAGCTGTTGAGGGCTGAATGACCCTGAACCTCCAGCTGCTGTTCCCAAGGCCACAGAGGGAGCTCAGCAGATCAAATACTTCCCTGAAAAAGGAAAACAGCCACATCCCACCAAGACGGGAATGTGAGTTCAAAGAGCAGCTTTCAACTAGGTGTCAGGGAGTCAAGGACATGCAGAGCTGGGTGTCCCCACCCTGGGACCAGCACAGCTAGGAGCACTGCTAAGCCACTTTGCCTTGTAGCCTTCAGAAAGAGTTGTTAGGCTACCACAGTGATTTTCAACCTTTCATCTCTCAGGACCATTCTTCTCTAAGTGAATACTATGAGATGTTCAATTTTACAGAAATCAGAGCAGGCTTCAATTCCCCCTCCCCCTCCACTTCTCACTCGGTTGACACCCCAATTCTGAGACCACACAGGAGCGTCCATGGCTTCAAAACCATCAGCCCTGAGTTCTTTAAGGACTCTCTAGCTCTTATGTCAGTAACTTCAGGGATCAGTAACTACATACCTACCTCCTTTAACAAGTTGTAGTTTTACCTGTGTGAGAGGCATGTATAGCATGGATAGACATGTATAGACAAAGAATTCCCAAAGAGAAATCCTGGGGAAGAATCCTATGTTCACTGGCCATGGTGACACACACCTTTTAGTCCCAGCAAGTAGATCTCTGAGTGTGAGGCCAGGCTGGACTACAGAATGAGTTCCTTCCAGGACAGCCAGGGCTACACAGAGAAACCTTGTCTCAAAAATACACCACCACCATGCCCAAAAAAATAATAATCTTATGTTCTCCCAGCAGTTAGGAGTTGCCTGTGATTCTTTGTCTAGGGGACCCTGTGAAATATTCCAATGGACATTAGTAGTCCATTGATAATTGACAGCCCTGAAACCACATACACATCACCAACAAAAATGGACCTTGCGCGCTCTCTCTCTCTCTCTCTCTCTCTCTCTCTCTCTCTCTCTCTCTCTCTCTCTCTCTCTGTGTGTGTGTGTGTGTGTGTGTGTGTGTGTGTGTGTAACAATATTAATCAAAGCAAAAGTGACTATCAACTTGGGAGGGATATGAGGGTTAGAGAGAGGGTGTCAGAGAGAGCCTCTAAAGGGAGAAAAGAGGAGGGAAACAATGTATTTCAAATAAAAACACATTTTAAAAGAATTATTTCATTTCCCTAAACCTTAGTTTTCTCACCTGTAAAAGGGAAAATATCCACCTCAAATGGCCTTTATGACAATGCATCTGCCTAATAATTTAACAGAATGCCACAAAATAAGCTGCAGTAAGATAATCAATCAATTGTATCTTGGTCCATAAATGGAAAAGCAGATAGCCACATGCCTTTGAATACTTATTGACATATTTAACACAAAAACCCTGGCAGTAGTAAAGAATGAGTAAGAAAGAAGAATGTACAAGCTGGAGGGTGTGGCCATTGGGAGGTTTCCAATGTTCCAGTGGGTAGCCCCACACCCATCCACAATACATCACTGATTGGAGTTAGTGAATTAAGGTATGGGGGTAGGATATAGGGGGAGATGGGGAAAGTGAATGGACTAGAAGGTATATATTTCATTGTATACATGCATAAAATTTTCAGAGATTTTTTTTTAATTTGGTTTGAGAAATACATTCTAAGTCCCAAATTCTCTGAACAACTTATTTCCTAACATCTTTAGTTTGTCTTCAGATCTTTGAAATTTGGGGCCATAGCATACTGACAACAACCAAGATGGTCAAGGATGCAGAAAGAAAACAGTTGAGAAAAACCACTGTTTCAGAACATGAGAACAAGGTAAAGAATTAGCCCCCAATATGGACACCAGCATCATCCAGACAACAGCTAAGTGGCCTGACAAGTCCCAGCTATCCTCTGATCTGCAAGTGCCTGGTGTGTACAGACGGGGTGAGAACAATCCACACACACACACACACACACACACACACACACACTACCACCACCACCACCACCACCACCACTGAAAGACCCCCAAAGGCTCAGGCCCCCAGGATCTCTCCCCAGAACCGAAGCGACCCCAATCACCAGGCGGGGGGTGAAAACTTGATGCAAACAGCAAGAGGTTTTATTGCAGTTGTTTAAGGAGCTAACCCTGAAGGGACCAGCTTCCCATTTCGGCAGCCATGACAGTAACATGTGCTCTATGACCTTGTCTTAGTCATTGGAGGTTAGGTGCCTGCCTTGTGACAAGGAACCAATCAGAAGTTAGCTGGTGGCGCTATGCTTTACGGACAAGCCCACAGCAATGCCGCCCAGAGCATAGCAACCACCTGGGGAGGGCCTATGGGCCATAACAACCAGTTGACCAATCAACACAGGGCAAGCCCTCCAAGGCTGGAGGCACACCAATCATGAGCCTGTGCATACCCCTAGACACTCCCCTTACGCTGCCCTACAAGATCTCTTGGGAGGCCCTAGGAGTTGTCTTTGCGAGGCATTCGCCATGGGGGGTGGGTAAAAGACCCAAGCTAACATGGGGTTAGCTCGTTAAATTATAATAAAGCCTCATGCAGTTTGAAGCAAGCTCTCGAATCCGCCTGGTGATTGGGGTGACAGCGGTCGTGGCCTGGGACTCCTGATACCTGAGTTTTCCAGGGGTCTAACAACCCCATGTTAGCTCAGGCCTTTCATCCATCCACCATGGCGGATAGCTGGGGAAGACACAGAGAAGCCACAGTATAGAGATCTTATAGGGCAACGTAAGGGGAGTGTCTAGAGGTACGCACAGGCTCAGGATTGGTGTGCTTCCAGGCTTGGAGGGATCGCCCTGTGTTGATTGGTCAACTGGTTGTTATGGCCCATAAGCCCTCCCAGGGTGGTTGCTATGCTCCGCACATCATTGCAGTGCACTTGTCCGTAAATCACACCCAGAGCCGTAAAGCATAGCACCAACAGTTTCCTTGCCACAAGGCAAGCATCTGACCTCCTAGTGACCAAGGCAAGGTCAGGCAAGCATGTGTTCGGCTGTTATGGCTGCTGAAATGGGGAGCTGGTCTCTCTAACCTACCCTTTCACTAAAGCCGGTCCCACCAATTAGTCCACGAACATCCAAATCATGACAGGAATGCTTCTGTAATTCTTCTCAGTGACACAGTTTTTCACATGCCTCCCTCATTTAAACGTTTCTCAGCACATAAAACCTGGTTGCCCATCTCACATATCTTCTAGGAAGCATGTGAGCCAGAAGTCACATGCCACACTTGGGATCTGTAGCATGCACACTGAACTCTCTCTCCCACAGCTGGATGCAATTCAAGTTCTGCAATTAAGGGGGCAGTGGGGACCCAAGGCCAGCTCACCCAGGACCCTAGGCAAGTCACCTTCATTCTTTGAACCAGTTTCTTTATCCATAAAATGAGATTTATCAGGTCACCCTACACATGCACATGCCCTTCCCATGTCACCCTGAAAGCTGTCAGAAATGAAACCGTATACATACATACATACATACATACATACATACACACACACACACACACACACACACACACACACACACACACACACACACACACACACACGGCTACAGATCAGCATGGGGAGCACCATGCATCTGCCATCATCACACAGACCAGCAAGTCACTCCCCAAGAGCAACTGGTCACAGTCACAGTGCATTGTCAGCAAATTGCTGGTTTGGGTGGCAATTAACAGTCAACTCTGGATGCAGGAGCATTAACATGAAGGGCACAGTATGCACCTGGCATGCTTCATGGCCTAAAATCTAGGCCATAGATGGTCTACAAGGAAGAAAAAGAAACTACACTTTCCTGGAGGCCTCTTGGAAGATCTGC